TGTAAGTCAGTATAATGAGAAACTTTCTCTAAATAATGAAATAACATCTCAAAATAATGAGAAAGATTTTGTGATCCTTATACTTGAAAATGTTAAAGGAAATACTCATATTCTCAGGCTGCACAGTAATGACAAATGCCTATTTCAAGTTCCTAGAGCCCTAATGTAAACATACATACAGGCTTTAAAAAGAAAAAAAAGTCAAGAAGATTATTTCTGTGGATTTAATTGTGTAATTTGGTTAAAGTTTTGTCTGTCTCAAAGTTACACTTCAACCTCGCATTCCTCATCGCTTGGCCAATTTTGAGCTGAGGCATTCTGCATGATAACCGCCATATCAGATTTGGATTAACACAGAATTGATTAGTTTTAATAAAACACATTTGAACAGTTATAATGGTCCCAGTGGCAGAGTCAGATGTGGAGGGGGTGGGCTTGGTAAAGCACAAGTAAGGGTTCACTTAGAGAGCCTCTGTTCAGGCAGTAAAGACTCTGCGTCAGGGCTTCATGAAGGACCAGACTCCCACTCTCGTCTGTATAACGCAGCTGAAAGCCCACCACCTCCAGAGGCTTCACAGCCAGAACAGCTGACACGTCAAACACATCATATCCAGATGAGGTTCGCTGGTCCAGGGTCAGCAGTCTCTCCTCGAGGGCGGGACTTTCCTCCAGACCCCCCTGTGAGGCTGTGACGCTGTGCAGGGTGACAGTCACACTGAGGGGACGGGGGTGGAGGGTTTTCCTGAACAGAACCAGCTCTGCCCCCAGCATGGAGGGGCTCAGGCTGCTGACGTTGAACCAGATCCATCCTGGAGGAGCGTGGTGTGGACCTGAATCCAAAGAATCATTTTCATACATTTAATAAAGTATTTGATTTGAATGTATTTTACCATTCCAGACATCTATTAGTTTTCATTCACTTCAGTTTGGTATGAGATTTAGCAGACACTTTAAACTCTGTAATCCATCACTTTCTGTTTTTTCTTTAATATGAAGAAAAGGCAGTTTAGGTGCTTATTGATTGATGACAAAAATGAATGCAGACTAGGTGCTCACTGTGATGGATGATTAGGGAATGTTTCCAGAGTGCATGTGAGTCCCTCCATGGGAAACGTGGCCTTGAGGAGAGAAACTAAAACTGCTGTTTTTCTCTTCTACGTCTGGTGATTCTTGGAACAGTGAAGACTAACAACAATGGTTTTGGTGAGTTTTATCCTGTTTCTGTCCACTTTGAAGGAAGTTACAATGTTACGATGATCTGTAGGGTAAAATGACTGTTTTTGTCAATGGAATCTGGTGGCGAATGAGATCAATATATCTGCTGTTTCTGGTTAAACAAAAAGATCTTTTAAAGAAAGGACATACTTTGACGTGTGCATTTGTCCCTGAGGATTAACTAACATTACACTGCACCCTGTTTGCGAATTTTTTCACATCTAACTCTGTTAATTAATATTAATTTAATTAATTAATTTAGGGTTTATTTCAACCAAACAAGAGTTGGTGATTGTTGGAAAGGCTAACAAAGACAACTATGGTGACTTTCTGTCCAGTTTGAAGTGTGTTTTAGTATCTGCAAGGTAAAATTACAGTTTTTTTCAATCGAGTCTGGTGGGCCATAGTGCTAATTTATTTAGGTTCCAGTGCTCTAGTGCAACATCTAGTGGCAGTGAATTTAACTTTAAATGAATATACAAACTAGTTCTGGTTTTAGGGTGTACGTTGTATTTATGCAATATCTTCAGACTGGAAAAAATGACAAAAGTAAAATAGCCATCCACAAATTTTCCAAATTAAGATTTGAAACTTAATTTCTCTCCATTTTATACTATTGCACTCCCTCGCTTCACCCTCCTCCTCCAAGCATTAATGAGAATGTGGTAATTGGCCCTATCTAAATCCAGTGTTTACTTTGTCTGTTCTGGGTTAATGTAGGTCTGCTTGCAGAATAGTAGAATGAATAGTGGGGTATTTTATTTTCTTGGTTTATGTATGACCTGTGAACTACAAATTTTGGTGTTCACTGGTGTTCTGCAAATATTTGCTTTCAAAGTAGCTCCCATTACACTGGTATATAACCTAGTATAAAATTTGCTTTAAGCATGTTGCACCTCTGGCCAAAACTCAAGCAGTGATGGGACAGCAGGTGTTTTGCTGATGGAAAACTTCCAGATTGGCCAACACAAGGACGTCATCACTGGAACACTGCCAGGGCTAACAGTTGTTCTTTTATCCCTTTGGTTTGCAGTCATTGAAAGCCAGTAACAAAATGAACAGGATTACTCCTTTTAAACAAGATGGTAATTCATTTTCTAATCCTTACCAGCGATGCTCCGATAACTCTGCACCAGCGTTCCATCTGAACTACCCAAGTCTTGAGCCTCCAGTGAGTCCAGACGCTGATAGATCCTCCTCATGTAGGGATGGGGCTTAGCCTGATGGCTCGCAGACACTTTATTGATATGTAGCATTTCCAAAATGGCTTTGTTGAGCCCCCGGTCATCCTCTGCATCTCTGCGCTGGTCCATCAGCAGCAAGCCTGTGACAGAGCACAGCAGGAGGAAGACCAGCGTTACGTCAAAAAATCCCAAACACAATCTTCGGACCATTCTGTATTAATTATATTTATTGTCTTCAAGCAGTCTGATATGATCTTATCTGCACTTGTTTTTCTGTCAATGTGCTGCTGAAAGGTCCACCTGGCAGCTATAGTGTATGGTCACATAGTACAGTCTGTGCACTAATAGGTATGCAGGAACCACAGGGGCTGTCAGAACTTAGTGAAGCAGGCCCATTCTGAAGCTGAGGAATGTTACTTCCTTTTGACAAACACTCTAGCATGGACTGTAATGAGCCTCAGTACAAGCAACCACTGGGCTGATGCACTGACTGGAAAGACTCCACTGGGATTTAAGGAGGTGGAGTATTAGAGCCCTTAAAGGAAAAAAACAGAGATAAAGAATAAAAAAGTGGTAGTACTTTGAAATGTCTTGATATTTTGAGATAAAGTTGTAATTCGACAAAAGAAAATGTGTAACATTTTGAGAATAAGTCATAATATTTGAGGATAAAATTAAAATTTTACAAGATAAAGTTGTAAATGTGGACAAAGTAGTCATATTTAAAGAACAGCATGACAATATGAGAAAAAGATAGACGGTTAATTTTAAGAGCAAAAAAAGTTGTCATCTATTTGACCAAAAATCACTGGATCAAAATGGACCCTGTGTGCATACAACTAATGCTATACTGAGTCAATGTTGACCCATTGATTTTTAGTGTATACTGACTGTATTCTCGAAATTACAACTTCATTTGTCAAATATTTGGCTTTACTCTCAAAATCTCTTTTTTTCCTCTGAGTGGTCCATACTCCATTGTACCCTGCAGAGTATACATTGCAATACTGCATACATACACTGCCTTGCATACAGTACATTTTGTGTTTGAAGCCAAAATGCAACTCAAGTCTTTTCTTCAGCAAAAATCTGAACATGGCTCACATCAAGCTGACAGAAAAACTGCCGCACAAATCAAGCCACGCTACTGCTAAGCCTGTTAATTCCACTTATTAAATATCTCCACATCCACTACACTTGGAGGGATATGTGTTCTGGCATTTAAAGAACAACATCTGGTATGATGGGGTTTTGATGAAACTTTCATTGCAGACTGCAGCTGACTTCTGGGTGACTTGTTTAAATGAGCACTTGTTTAAATCTATAGTGTGATCTCCAGAAAACAGGTTGGCACTACATAATAAAACACCTTGGACAAATCATTTCAACCTACAGTAGATAATAGACTGAATATCGCAAACTGAATATATAGTGGACATATTGTTTTCTCAGGCTAATACTGACCCCTACTGGCTCCCTGCAAAACTACAGTCTCAAGTCTGTCAGTGTTAAAGTGATATTGGGAAGAATTTAGTCACATTTTCTCTCTCTTTGCTTTAACAAGGTTCTTATAACTGTGCTTTTATCTTTCATGCAATGGTGTTTCGTATTTTAATATGAGTTTGCCAAATTATAATGAATTTGCTTGTTTAATGAAGGAGGCAGTGATGGATGATTGGAGTAAACTTGGACTGATACTGAAGTCCAAACTCTGCATTAAAAAGAAAGAACAATGAAAATAAAACAAACTTTCTGAAGTTGGCTTCTGATGTTAACCACCAGTAACATTACTGAAAGAGTTAGTTAGCACTTCATACACACTAAGCATACTCCTAAGCCTCAAGAGCAGCTAAATCATCCCTTTTTAATACTGTCTGTAATGAGTAAGCACTAGCACAGCTGCAGGCCTTTACTCTTGTTTTAAATATTGTTTTTGTCCATAGGCTGCAACAAGGGTGTAATTTCCACTGAGCACCAGAGCCAAGCATGTCCCCCTCACTTTTATCATTTATTTACCCAGTTAACTAAACTAAATGTAATATTTCATGCACTAAAACTTCTCTAAACATTGTCCTCTGAGTGTCCGGCCCCTATATCACAGATAATAGAAGAGAGGAGCTGCTAAAAATGTTAATACACAGCAATTAACTTAATGAGCACCTGCTAGTGATGTAGAAACTGGTTTGTTCCCCGGGCTTTGCCTCTCAGGCTGCCTGCTGGCTGCCCTACCTTATCAGTGAAACTTGTTGGGGCTGAAAAAAATATATTGTTTTACTTTTATTACATTTATTTTTACTTTTAAACATAAAAAGGTAATAAAACACAGGTAAACAAAAATGATACGTGTGTGTCAACTAGCACATACCTCATAAAAAAGAAAGGAAAATAAGTAACAATTAACATAGGAGCATAACATAAAGTCTACCTATATAGATATACAGACATACATATATACAAATATATATACTCTCCTACATACACGTGCACACACACACGTATCCATGTATGAACATGTTCACATCAACCCATAATGATTCTGCACTGGAAAATCATTATTTAAAAATGGAAGATATTCTCTTATCACCACCATGTTGCCACAATAATTGAAAAATATATATTTTTTATTACTTTTATTAAGTCCATTTACCATATATGGCAAAAGAGGTCAAACGGAACCAAGTTCCTGTATTGGAAAGTGTGTAAAGTTTTTATACGTTTTTTGGGAGCAGCACAATGACACTGACATAAAATTACATATGGTTGTTACTGAGTGCCAAAATCATCATGTCACGTCTTTTGTTCCACTAACTTCTGTAACTCAATGAATTTCTATAGCAATAATGAGTGGTGTTTCTGTCCATACACTAAGTGGCATCCTCTATAGCAGCTGCCATAAGACACTGAAACTGTTGTTATTTTAGACAATGTTTACTTTGTGAGCACAGAAACAACTACAGCTCCCATTAAAAAAACTACAAGCATGTCAGCACAGGTGCTTTTGTCTTTGACTTCTAAAGTCATGTGGTATGATGCAGAAGGTAATTTTTATAAAAATAACTTGTCATATTCTCTGAAACATTAACTATATCCTGACAGTAGAACACGAGACAGATAATCTGTGAAAAAAATCAGGTTTCTTCAGACTCCTCCTAATGATCCTAATTGCACTCGCAAAAATCCACCAGGCCTGTACGAGAACAACCAATGAGAGTTGAGAAAGATAGTTGATTGTTAAGTCTCATTCTCAGATGGTCAAATATTCATAATAATAATCAACTATCTTCAAACCAGCAACTCAAAGCATTGGCATTTAATGACCTGGGGACGTATTACTGTCAGGATATAATGAAAGTTTCAGCTAATATTACAAAAAGCTTTTCCAATAAAAGTTACCTACTGCAGCTTTAAACTTTCTGGCTTCTACAGCTCAGTCCTCTCTGTGCTACTGTTGTTACAGCCATGTTTGAGCCAGCCACAGCACCTCATAGAAATGGTGTTTGTTAAAAGCCATCTTTAGACTGGATGTTGTTAGCATTGATACAAAGGTCAGTGGGATTTTGAATGAGGTTTTCTTACTTCTGGAACAGATCCTGGAGGTTTCAGTTACACTAAGGATTTCTATAGCAAATGTGTTGCTTATTCACATATCCAGCACTGTTCGCTCTTGTTTGGTCTCTACCAACTGCTGAGAACAACTGACAACTCCTGCGGTTAACTACTTAGCATGCAGTGTACAGTGAGTTTATCACAGTTTTGTCACTGAAAATGGCTGCTTGCCAGAACATAAAACCAAAACAGCGAGCTGAAAGAAGCTAAACAGTCCATAGGACTTTGGGGAACTACAATGATAACTCTCAGTAGATGTATCACGACGAGCAACACAACTTTTCCATATAATAATTTTATCCATTAGAATATAAAAATATTAATGAGTGCAGCAGTTCCAGGACATAAAAGTCAGGATACAAAAAAGGTAATCCATTACAGTGATTTGTGATGCAAAAAATATTGTATGCAGTTTTTTTTCCAGTTTACCATGTTATCTTATTTTGATTCTTTTTTTCTCTTTATTTGCATATTTGGTGTTGAGGTAATCCTAAAGTAAGAGAAAGTATTCAAGTAACTTTAATATTGTGATACTCAGATTAGGTTACTGACTACATTCTTTAATAGGTAAATAATAATTGTTTCAGAAAAGTTTTTTTTTTGGCCTTTTCATGCCTTTATTTGATAGTGACAGCTGAAGATCGACAGGACAGGGGGGTAGAGAGAGAGAGGGGATGACNNNNGGCCACAGGTCGGATTCAAACCCAGGCCACTGCAGCAACTCCGTATATGGGTCACCAGCTCTACCGCCCTGAAAACGAGTAACTACATTGTTTCTAAAAGATGGAGATTTTGATGTCTTCTTCCAGTTTTGCACCCCTGCTTTGTGCGTTTACACAGGGGTCTCAAACTGCCGGCTTGGGCTCCATCTCCAGATCTCTGACCCCTTTCACCTGGTCCACGATATGTAAAATGTATGTGTTTTCTAGTTCTCTAGTTTTCTAGTACATTTTTTCTACCCCTTCATGTACAATTAAAATAAAAACACAATTCTATTTTCAAAAGTGTATTCCGTTTGGTGCAAAATTCAAAGGTCAAAGTTGCCTGCAAATACATGCAAATGGTTAAGAAATGAGCAGGTTTGGGGCCTTTATTTGTTGTTTGTTAAGAACAAAGATGATAAAAAATTATGAAATAAAAAGTATGATGTTAGTAATGGAAATATAATAGAATATTACACTTTCTTGTAGAATTTGAAGATAGGTCGTGTATGTGCCATTTTCCATCCATTTTCTCTCTTCTGATGTCCTCCTTACATTAGTGCACTGTTCAGCCTTTTATCTCTCTCTTCTATAATGACAGAGCTGTTTCTCACACCACCAGGCACTTTGGACCAGTCTTTGATCTCAGAGCCCGGTGTTTGTCTTTGTTTTTCCGTTCCGATTGCTGATCCCAGTGCAGCAACAAGAGGAGGGAGGCCTTCCTCCTCAGTCGCTGCTTCCTGTCCTCAGCCTCTGTCCCTCCCTCCTTCTCCCTCTCCACTCACCTCACTCTGGTGTGGGCGGAGTTTGTCCCTGAAGAGTGAGCAAGGATTCTGTTGGTGAGGTAGTTGCTGTTGAAAGCAGAGGAGAGCAGACAGGTATGGGTGGAAGAAGAAGCGCCAG